CACACACACACACACACACACACACACACACACACACACACACACACCTTCCCCTGTTGCCATAACAAACAAGGTGCAAGATGACACAAGAGGAAGTGTGTGTTCGGACAGAGTGAAGGAATCCAACAGGTCTATCATGGAAAACAGCCACAGGCTCTGGCTGGTGCCTGCATGCATACACATTGACTATGTGTGCACAAACGGCACCCAGTCGCTCACATATGCTTCTCGAAAAATCATGTGACATTTTATAGTGGGTTTAAGCATATTGTGCACTTTGTAACTTTGCTGCAGGCACAAACTGCAGACATGTTGGGCTGGAAAAACTCTTCTGCTTTAGTTTGATGGTCTCGTTTGCTGCGTGCTCGTCAGTTCATCTCAGTTTTAACAGCAAGTTACGAATTGTTTTGTTGAAATACAACTTGCATTCATCAGTATAAAGTGAGACATGTTCAAATACTCTTACTTACATTCTTTACGCATTTCATTCAAAGTCAGTACTATGGGACAGGTGTGTCCCCTCAACTAAAATCCTAAGCATTGCATTGTGGTGTTCGGGTGTTGATGTGTCTTATCTCTGCATGTCAAATGTGTTTTTCTGTCTGTTTTTTGTTTCTCTATTTGTGGTCAGTATTTAATATTTTGTGTTTCCCTCAACAGGGCTGAGAAAACTGAGGTGCTGAGTGATGACCTCCTACAGGTGAATATGACATTCTTCTTCTCTGTCAATGATATCTATATATCTATATATAAGTGACAACATCTGGGATTAAACAGGATTACCGACACAGGATTTAGGGATTACAGGAGTAATGGATGACTGTTTGTAGCACAGTATTTCACACTACAAAAATACAATGGTATGCATTGTTGAGTGACTAATGAACCTCAGTAATTGTCATTAACAGAGCAGTGTGGAGATGGTATGTCTTTGCAATTCATACGTTTTTTTTTTAACGCCGCTTCACATTGTAAGATGTAACTGAAGAGCAATATTCATCATATTTACTTCAGAAATGAAGTCTGAGGACATTCTCGTATAGATTTGTTGATTAAACAACCAACAGAATATAAAACAAAATTTGAAAATTGACAAAAACTTGATGGTTTCAGCTTCTCAAATATGAAGATTTAATGAATTTCTCTGTCATGTGTGATAGTGAACTGAATGTATTTGGGTTTTGTACAACCCAATACAAAAACATAGAAAAAATATTCGTAAAATACCAAGAAGAAGTGAAACTCTCTGTGAAACCTGTATCATACAAACCATGCGTTGGCTGTATTGTTGCACCCCTAGCATCCACTGTTTTCAAGTGTCAGTCTGAAGTCATTCAGTATCTGTCACCCATGAAGGCTGTTATGTCCCGTTTACCGTCAAACCCACTTAACTGCTGTATCTCAGTGTAAAAACTGCAATTTAAGAAGTCCTTTTCCGGAAGAATAAAATTCAGGAGTTATCAAAAGACTTACAAGTTCTCCTCACATGCTCTGTTAAAGCCATCATGCCTGAGCATGCCTGTTGATGCCAAATCTCGCTGCCGTCTCGGAGTAAAACTGCTGGCATTGAAACGTCACCGGGGACTCTTTCATTCACTTACACCTCGCCAGCTCAGGGGTTTTGCTCTGTAGGAAAAGTGCCTCATGGTTTTCCACTCAAGGCGAGCCCTGGCAATGTTCTGTTATCTTGAAATCATACTAGGTGTGTGTGTGTGTGTGTGTGTGTGTGTGTGTGTGTGTGTGTGTGTG